GAAAATTAAACATCCACCGTACTCTCTATTGACTAAACTATCAAAAAATTGTTTATCATTTAAGCAAGAAATATTGCTAATTGAAACTAGAGAAGATTAGGATAATTAACAAAATGCTATTTCTTATTGGTTTTTTACTGTAACTTCATTTATTAAAACTGAAAAAATTTGTTCAGTTAGAACTAATTAAGTAATTCCGAGGTAGATATCTGATTAAACTTAAGAAGAGGGAAAGTAAGAATTATCTGTGAAATTTAAATAACTCATATTTAAAGTGTGTTAGGGAAGAGGATTTATTGAATAAATAGCATCAAAAAAGAGATAATTATGTGTTGTATAAAATGAGTTATTGTACATAGTTATATACTAGAACTAAAATGTTTAATTTTTTTGTTTGATTGTGCTGACAGTTGAGAATATCTATAAATTACAAAACTGATTATTGGATATTGTCATATTAGCTACATTGAACTCACCAGCTTCAAATAGCTAACCAGAGAATTGTGGATAGTAAATTTAATTTATATCGCATAGATTATTTTAAATTATAAAAGTATCAATAATAACATTAACATCGCTATCTTAGGTTAATATACTGAATTTTTCATTTAATTTACAACTATCTATTAGAATATTTTAAAGTGCAATCTATTTAATATAATAAAAATATTTCATTTATTTTAAATTTACAATTTAAAAAATTACCTATTAAGAATTAACGATTGATATTAAAGCTGATGTATTTGAAAAATCTAAACTTTTTATGTTTATATTTTTAATAGTCAAGAAAGAATTATTTATTTAAAAAAAGAAGCAATGAGATGTACTATCTGTTGAAGATATACTTATGTTATCTATAGTAGCACTCGAAATAATACCATCGAAAGAAACCCCACAATTTTATTAAGAGCTACTAATAATAAAATTAAAAAGTATATCATCAATGTTTAGCATAAAGAGACCCGAAAATTGGAGCAACTAATTTACATTAATTTAAGCTAATTGATTATTATTATTATTCCAGCTCTAAATTGTTAAATTCGTTTATGCAAAATCTTACAAAGTTAGCAAGTCATTGTAAAATACCATCTAATTTTAGTTGCTCACTAATATATTAACGTTTAGAATTTCAAATCCGTTTATTAATTCGAAATATTATTTAACCTATTTTTAAAATTAAAATATTATTTTTAAATAGAAAAATACTTTGGTAAAATATTTATTTTAATCTAAAGATTTATTTACTAAAAGTAAAGATGGAATTATACTCAAAGAAGATGTAAAAGGCTATTCAAAAGAACCTATCCCATATAGGCTTTTAGTATCAGCAGTTTCAGTAGTATTAAAATAAAACTACATTTAGCATTTCTAAGTACAACTAGGCAAATTTTAAAGACATTATCCAATAGGGAAAAATGTATTACTGTAGTAATACTAAATAAATAAAACCTAAGTCTTTTCTATATACTGAATATTATTTCCACAATCTGTTAAAGAAGGAGACTGGAAATGCATAAATAATTCAAATTATTAGGTAACTGTATTAAAACTGCATAAATAAACATCTCCGCTCATATTATCTCCAACTCCAAACATATTTATTTTATTCAATACATTTAAATAGTATGGATTTGACTATAGTTTCATTAATTGTTAAAATGTTTTTTTAGAGAAATTATAGATAGTTATACTGTAATCACCACAAACTGTTATTAGAAATTTATTATCATCAGTATGAAATAATTAACCAATTATTGAGCCAGAACAATCAGACGCTTTTTATCAAAATTAATTTTTTAAATAAATAAATAAAATATTTTATTATTATTTTTTTTAAATTAATGAAAAAAAATTTTTTTAATTGTTGAGATAGGATTTGATATTTCATTAGTTTATTTTCATCTAAAATGAAATTTATTCCCATTTTTAATTTTATTGTAAGATTACTTATTGAGTATTTGAATGAAAGGTCTGTTGCATTCCAAACAAAAATACTTCCATTAACAGCAATTCCAACGATTTCTTAATCTTCTTAGGAATAGAGAGCATAACTTGTATTTTGATTATTGTCTTCTACTTTATCAGAGAGCAATTAAAACTATTATTAAGAGGTAATACTTATAGCATAAAATAAGAAATTTTCATTATTTTATTTATTAGGTATTCCTACAATAACCCAAACAGCTTGATTAATATCTTAGTAGGGATCAATATTGAAGCTTATTGAATCAGTATTAAGATTTATCTAACTTAAATCGTATACCTGTTTTTATTTTTATAATAACTTTAATATTTTTGATTAAAATAGAAAGAAAGAAATAATTACTTAAGGAGTGAATGATGAGTCCATTACTTTATAAAATGCTAAGTATGTAGAATCATGCATAGCAATAAAACAAGTATTACAGTTTTTTACAGAAAAAAATGTATTTTATCTTGCTTTGATTGACTAAATAAGAGGATAAGTAAGGATAGATTTTAGGTTACTTGGAGAATCTTTAGTGACTTAAATTTCATATAATGTAGAAACAACAAAATATACTTCTTAATTGAGTTAGAAAGTAAATATTTTTGTAAAACCTGTAGAAATATAATCTTAATTTTATAGTATAATGGTTAAAGTAAATTAATTTATTTTTGAAATTTTATTTTTACTAAAACGAATGAGCTAAGTGTCTGTACTATATGAATAAGCAAATAGAGCTGTTTAATAAAAGTAATTAGTGTAGTATGGTATTAACAATTATTGACTTTCTTCCAAATGATACCATTGATTAGTTGGACTTCCTGGTAGTTAAACAGTAAAAGGTTGATTGATATTATCAAACCTAAAAGAATCAAATGTATTTGTTTTCTAATTATAGACAAAATTTAAATCTATTCTATAAATAGACCACTAGCCACTTATGTATAAACTGCCTTAATTATTTTAAGAATTTATAAAGCTTAAACTGGCTATACTATCTCCTGATTGACCACTTGGTAGATCTATTTTTTAAAATTTTAAGAAATTTATAATGAAAATTATTAATATATTTAATCTACAATCAGTCTTGATTAATTTTATCTAATTCGCTTATAAATTAATGATCTAGAAAGCATTGATTTGACAATTGGCTCCTGCCAAAAATATAATATCATAACTCTTGTGCAAATCTATTAAGCTATAATTATTAGCTATAAAATAAAATAGAGTGAAATATTATTCTTTAAAAGACTTAAAAATTAGTTATACCTGCTTGCGAATAATATCCATTGAATGAGAATTCTAAAGTTTTAAAATCAATTGACCAAGTATAAGCACCATACTAATCAATTACTGCTATAAAATTCTAACCATTTTAAAGCTAAAGTAACTTTGCTGAAGCAATATGATTACCACAGTCAGAATTATAAGGTAAAACATTCAAAGATAGAATTTATTTTCCTTCTATAAAGTCAACAACATATAATAAATATGTTGCACTTTTTAAGACTAAATAATTAGATCCTTTCATGAAATGCATACTTTCTAAATTAGAGAATGCTAGTGTTTATTTAGATTCAAGAGTATAAGGATCTGCGTATATTAGCTATCCTGAATTCACAACTAAAATTTGATTTCTTTATAGTATATACTCCATTTGATATATAACATATTTAGCTTTAATAAAATAAAAATTGTTTTAAAAAGTATAAACTATTTATTTAAATTTACTCTTAACCACATTCACAACATTATCAATTTCACTAGAAAGATCAATATAATATACTATACTCTAAGACTATACAGTGTTTATCAAAAGTATATTAGTGTTAGGCAACTTCAAGGAATTAGAAATAATATAGTTCTCAAAAAATTTAGGCTCTGTTTTTTAAAATTTATATCATAATGTATTAAAATATTAATTTAATCTTACGGTGCTGCCTAGAAAATGCTTAACATATTTAAGCATTTAAGTTTTGTATTGATTACAATAAGATTATGACTGTTAAATTCAAAGTAAAGAATGATTTACTCATACTAATAGATATTTTTTCAACCTTCTATTATTACTATTTTTAATTCAAATATAGGTTTTGAGATAAGATTATTGAATTATTTCCTAGAGAGTTTTTAAATAACTTCAAATGTTTATTAATTATTATTTTTGATGTTTCTTATACTTTTCTTTTACTATTTTTAATTCAAATGTAGGTTTGAGATAAGATTATTGAATTATTTCGTGGAGAGCTTTTTAAATAACTACAAATGTTGATTAATTATTATTTTTTATGTTTCTTATTCTTTTCTTTTATTCTTATATCTCAAATTTTAGGATTTAAATGTACACTTCTGTTATTGAAATTAATCTATAAAAACTAAAAAATATTCTTTCAACCTTCTATTATTACTATTTTTAATTCAAATTTAGGTTTTGAGATGAGATTATTGAATTATTTGGTGGGGAGTTTTTTAAATAGCTTCAAATGTTTATTAATTATTATTTTTGATGCTTCTTATTCTTTTCTTTTATCTACAATATATATCTGAAAGCTACGTCTATTAACAATAAAATACTATCCTCAAAATTTTTAATTTAAAAAATTTAAAGTAATTTTTTAAAAATTATTTAAGTATAAAATAATTTTTACCATTTTAATTTTATAATTTTAAGCTTTAATATCTCTTTCAAAAAATAATTCGAACATATATATTATTGAATCAGTAAATTCAAATTAATAAAAATTTGGATTACTGAATGCTTATTTTTAATTGGATTATTGATAGCTTTATTAAATTTATGTTTCTATAATTTAAAAAAATTTATTCAAATCAAAATGAAGGTTACACTAATATATTAATTACATTAAAAAGAAAATAAAATAAATCAATTATTTATTATAATATTTTAAAATTCATTTATAATCTTTAAAGAACAAATATTTAGAATCTTTTTTATATTTAATTTGTTTCATTCCTTTATTTCTGTATTGGGATTAAATAAGATCTACTAAGAATTAAAATAATATTTTGACTTTCATTTTCTATTCGTACTATCTAGGTTATAGTTTATGAAATATATATATATTTGTTTGAAATAATTATTGTTCAACTTTTTAGATTTTTTTACTGCTTGGCTGTGTAAATTATAAATTATGACTACTCTTGTAAATGCTTTAAGAAAAAACAGAATTCCTTTTTCTTCTATTGATTACCAATTTATTTATTTTTAAGAATTAATTTGTGGCAGGCCTTGTTTTTACATTAGGAGTTTGGTAGATAATACTAATTGATTATATTTCTTCGTTATTATCGAAATTCTTATCCATATTGTTATTATTAACTATATTTTAATCTATTTTTTTGTTAAGTTATAAAGTGAGGATTTTAAGATAGCTGCTAAGATTTACTCTTTTTATTTTTAATGTACATTAATAGTGATTTAACTAATTAATAAATAGATAATATGAAATCTTTAATAATAAAAATTGTACAAGTATTCTATTAAAAATCCACTAATAGCAACAATTATCCATCCAATTTTCTAATTGTATCTTCGTTTTCATCTTAAATATCCTAAACTAATAATGAAGCACAAATTTAAATAACTATCATTAAAACTTCCTAATAATCTACCACATCTGATAAAGATGCTTTAACATCAATTTCATAGCAAAAATTTTAATTTTAATTAGCGAAAACACCTAATTTTTTGAATTTAAAACTCCTCTTAGTTTTCTTAACAATATAATTCAATATAAAATCATAATAGTAATTAACGAGAAACTCTATCAATAGTAGTCAGAGAAATTGAAAGAACCCACTCTCAACTGAATCATCTACAAGAAATACAAATATTTAACATTATTTTAATTTTGGAATAAATCAAAACAACTCTTCTTATGGGTTAAATTTAAAAAAATAAGTAAGATTTTATGTATCCCCTAAAAATTAGCTCCTAAAAATAATTAAAAGAAATAAGATAATTAGCAAAATTAGAATAATTTTAAAACGGATTAACAGAATTTAAGTTTTCATTAAGAAGATTAAAGTTTTAAAGAATCAAATCAAAGATTTTAAGGAAATAATTAAGCTTCAAAGAATAAAACCAAAGCTTTAAAGAGTAAGATTTATATTTTAAAGAATAAAGCAAAAACATTTATTAAGAATAACTAAATGTTAGAGGGGATAAACAAAGTACATAAGATATGAATTAAAGTGATAGTGAAGTAAATCAAAATTAACATCAATTTAATCTTATAAGTGAAAAAAAATAATTTTTTTTAAAAAAATTTTTAATAGAGTTTAAAGCAAGTAAATAAATAATAGATATCTTATTTTATTTATGATAAAGCCCCTAATTATTTTGATTAAGAAATAAAGTAAAGTGAATTAAATATTTTTAATGCATTGGTTTAACATGATAATTTTGAATAAAATAGATAATTTTAGTAATAAAATACAGGAAATGTAAGATTTTTAACTCCACAACCAACTGCTCAAAGCTCTGCAAATTATGAAACTTTTTCTTATCATTCATATTGGCAATTTATTTATAAACTTTCCTCTTTTTGTTACCAATACTGAAACAATCAATACCAATAAATAGAGTTAAAAAAAATATCTAACTAACACCATTTTTGCTAAAGCAATAATAATTTTAGTTAGCAAGTAAATATTTTTAAATAAAAATTTTTATTAATAAAACAAATGAATTCAAATTTTCAAATTTAAATGACAAATTAAATTAAAATCTTTTTTTTAATTTTCCTATTATTTTATTAATTGTAAAACTAGATAGACAATAAATTTATAAAAAATGATAAATATAAAGATATATTAAAAATTTGATAAAAATGTTTTTAAAAAAGTCTTAAAATACAACCTTCCAAGTATTTTCCTTGGAAGGAGAAAAATCAGCAAGGCAGAGAGGTTTTTACTGCCTACTGATTTAAATAAAAATGCCTCAATTCTTAATTCTCTCATTCTTTTATGATTTATAAATTATTTATTAACTTACAAAAAATAGGATATTAATAAATATAAAAACAATAATAAAATCTATCTATATATCTCTTTATTAGGTAAAAAAACTTTTTCAAAATATTAAATAATAAAACATTTAATATTCATTTATACAAGCATTTAATATTTATTAATCCTTTTTATCATTTGCTTATCATCAGAATTTTTTAATGACAACTAAATTTTTTAATTTAAGACACTTGCTTATTACTTTGAATTTGTATAATTCATTCATTTAGTTAAAACATTTATTATAAATTTGTGTAAATTAAAAAAAAATATTAAATAAAATAAACTTTTAAATTAAAAAGTGTTTCTTAAATTAATAAATAAATAAAAGCTATAAAATAAATACAAGAAAATTTTTTTGTTTAATATTAATTTTTATAATTACAAAATTATAATACAAAACAAATAAACTGTTATAGTTAATTATTTAGAGAAAAATAAAGAAATAATATGAAATAAAAAGAAATTAATAGTAAAAACAAAAGTTGAAAATAAAAAAATGAGTTTAATAATTAAAGAAAGAAATAACAGATAATAAATTTACATATATACTGTAATTCCTCAAAAAAATGGGGGTTGAGTCAGGTCTCTGACTATCTAATATATCCAATTTATTCAATTTATTCATTTTTTTAGCGTTTTTTCTATTTCTGATCCTGAGTTAATGTAAAATTAATAAGCATTAGAACTTTTTTGTCTATGCCTTTTGAAATCTGGGCCAATTTTTAATAACTTAATCTTCAAAGAGAGCTCATTTAGAAAAGGCTTCATGAAATTTAAAGAAAATATCTTTTGAGAATATAAGTATTTGTGATTTATTTCAAATTTTATGCAATTACTCATGGATTTAGGTAAATCATCTATCATTCTGAGCCCTTCTTCTTCTAAGCTGTAATCAGATTATTTGTGTAAGTATTCATAGTATTTAATTACTTGATACGTTATTTTTTTATTTAGTTACCTTGAATTCATTAGCTTATTTAATGCCTTCATTAAATTAATAATCTCAATATTTTTTGGCAAATAAAATATTAATTAAAGAATTACTTGCATTTTTTTGTTAAAGGTTTCAGACTTTCTTTAAATTTCCCCTACTATTTCTTTTATTTGACTAATAAAATAACCAAATAAGCCACAAGATATCAGACTAACTATCGAGATATATATCCTTTCAAGATCTGTAATTGGCACAATATCTCCATATCCAATTGTTGTCATTGTGATAGTAGACCAATAAATTGCAGCTAAATATCTAGAAAAAGCTGAATCTTTGTCTATTTTCAACTTGATTTATTATTATTTTTATTAAAAGCCTAATAAAATAAAAATGCGTCCTTGTATGCTAATAAATGTAAGAACTATCAAAACCAATAATGATATTCTTCTAAAAATATTGTGTTTTGATTCTTAATCAAATTTATGAAATAATTGCTTATAAGTTTAAATGAATCTGAATATTCTCAGCTCTAGAACGTACTCTAAATATCGTAGACCGTAGAAATGCGTTGAGATAAAATAAGAGAAGAAAATAAAAAAGTCTAATCTATTATTTTAAAATTGATTATAATATTTGTAACGTAGCGCTAACAAATTAATTGAAATTATTTACAAAAATTCTTTCTTCAAATATCTGTGAAGTATATATTTCCTACTTATAATTATTCTACCTCTTTTAAACACAGCCTTAAAAAAAATGAGTTAGAAATAAACACCATATTCAATTATTTTAATAATTTTGATACTTTATTCAAACTAATAGTTGTTTCTGCAATAAAAAACAAAAGATTAAGATTTAAAAACACCAAAAGGTTTCATACCGAAGTAATATTTCATAATATATTTATTTTAAATTCTATTCTTAAATAAAATAATTAGTTTTTTATTTTATTTACAGAACAAATAAAGCTTAATATTAAAATATAAATACCGTAAACTATTTGGAATTCGGATATTGGGATTTGCTAAATCCGAAATGTGAAATTTAAAAAAACGCTTAATTTTAATGATTTTTCGGAAGTCGGACGGATCATGATAACAAGAAATTACAGTATATTATTAATAGGGAAAAATTAACTTTAAAATTGATTGATTAATCTTTTTAGTTAAAAACAAAAAATAATATGTATTATTAATATTTAATCATAATTTTCAGATATTTAAAGTATTGTCTTTTTCATATTCAGTAAAATAAATTAAATTATTATTTTTATCCACCTGGTTAACAGAATTTAATTTTATTTATTCATTAGAGTTATCCTCTTTATCTTTTTAACTCTCTTTCTAATCCATTGCCATATTTAATTCTTCGAATCCTAATATTAAATTAAAAAATTTAATGATTAAAAAAAAACTATTATATTAATTACATTTAAAAAGAGGAGATTAGTTTATCTAGCTGCTATATACAGTATTTGTGTTATTTTCATTATCTTTATCATAGTAATCGCTTTCAGAGTTTAATTTTTCTTAATTTTTAGTAGATAAGTATTTTTGTTTTAATTTTATTAATTTATTAGAATTATCCTCTTTATCTTTTTAATTCCTTACTAAATTTAATTCTTCGAATTCTAATTAATATTTAATTAAAATATTTAATGATTAAAAAAAAACTATTATATATATTACATTTAAAAAGAGGAGATTAGTTTATCTAGCTGCTATATACAGTATTTGTGTTATTTTCATTATCTTTATCAAAATAATCGCTTTCATAGTTTAATTTTTGTTAATTATAAGTAGTTAAGTATTTTAGTTTTAATTTTATTAATTTATTAGAGTTATCCTCTTCATCTTTTTAACTCTCTTTTTAATTCCTTACTAAATTTAATTCTTCTAATTCTAATTAATATTTAATTAAAAAATTTAATGATTAAAAAAAAAACAAATTAAAATATTACATAAAAAAATAGGAGATTAGTTTGTCTTGCTGGTATATACAGTATTTGGGGTATTCATATTATCTTTATTAATGTAATCGCTTTCAGAGTTTAATTATTGTTAATTTTCAGTAGCCAAGTCATTTAGTTTATTTTATTTAACAGTCTAATTAATCTACTAATCTTTAAATAGTCTTTTATGATTTTTACCTATAAATTAAATATATTAAATATAACAAATAACAAGAGTTTTAATACTTATTTATATCTTTAAGCCAGAGAATAAAAGATCATACTTTTGCTCTTCACTGAGATTTAAAAATTCTTAAAAAATTCTTTTTATTTTAGCTTTCAATTACGGATTTAATTTTTATTTTTGAAACTTTTGAACAAGCAACTTTGTATAAGAAAATTTTTAAAAAAATGAAATGATAACATTCTTAAATTATATTAAAAGTCCTATAATAACTCTTTTAATTATTACAATAATAAACCAAGCATTGATTGTGATTATAATTATAATAGAAGTCACTACATAATAATTGAAGGGATTATTGTAAATGAATAAACAAAGTAATACAGAAACTGCACACACGGTTGTTTGATAGAAATCAACTGTATTGTACCCGCTCAAACGATAGGGTTATAAAACACTAGATGCTATCCCATAGAGAGAAACCACAATAAAAATTAGCACTCCTTTAACATTAATATCTTAGGAATAGAAGTTAAGAATTATAATGATTAAAATTTTTTCTAAAATTTTCACGAATTCCCAATAATATTTTTGGCTTTTATACTCTCTGTATAAAAAGCCATATTTCTTATATATTGAAATGTTTTGCAAGTTATTTTTATTTCTGTATAGTATATAAAAAAGTCCAATAGGTATAATAAAAGCAAACACTAATAAACAAGGAGCTACTAAGGTAGAACTATAGGTCTAGTGCTGGCTAGTGTTGCATTCATAAGTTATATTATAGAGTATGTAACTAGAATCTCCAATTACCCTGCATGATAGAAGACCTATCATTTGAGAAACTAAATCAGGCTAAACTAAAATAAATATAAAGATCGCAGCAGTACAAATAGAATAATAACGAACTTTTATATTTGTAAATACCCTTTAGAAGATTAAACTAAGTAAAAACACCATTAAATAGCCAATTGGAACAATTAGAGTAAATAGTAGTTTAAGATATATCATTGGTATATCTGTTTATATATCTTTTAATATACATTCAGCAGAATTCATTTATTATCTTACAGGTGTTCCTAAATACTATGAAGTATCAAATATATCTTTTTTTTGTTTGATAAAATTTAAAAATTATTTTCATCTTTAAAAATTTAGTTTATATAAATTTATAAATAAATAATCTTAATAAATTAATAATTTTAAAATTAAAAAATTTTTATTTTTTTTACCTGTAGTTAATTTTATATTGAAAGTAATAATTGATCCTACTATTTGTAAATAGTTAATGAATACTTTAATATAAACACTAGCTTTTTCTCCATTTCGAGATTTTTAATCTTTTTGGTTATCATATTTGACATTTAATTTAGATTAATATTTAGTCCCTTTTAAGGAAGTGCTTAGATTATTCTTTAATAAGTGTCTTTTCAGAGCTACTTAAAAAGCATTTATTGTTTATTCCTCTAAGTCTCCTTTTATGGCAAGTCGAATTGAAAATAAAGTCCAGATTATTATTAAGATTGCTTTCCACAATAAAGCACTCAATTCTTTACATTACCCACATTAATAAGATCCAATTTTAGAATAGCTTTCTCCCCAATAGCTTCCATAAATCTTATTAATTTTAAATTTATTGTTAAAGTAATATTTAAAAAATTGTATTTACATCACATTCTTCACATAGAGGCCCTATGTAACCTTCTAAGCATACTTAATTACCATAAGTATTTCCAATACAGTTTGAAGGCTTATTTGCACATTCTATAACAAGAGGACTACTTTCATCTTTTCTCCAGAATCCTTAATTTACATATATAATTCCATTTTTGCATTTTGCTCCAGAAGGACATGAATAACATTATTGTTTATCGAGAGAGTATTTATCTTAGTCACAGACAACACATTCTGTATATGTATTGTAAAAATTCTGAATTTCACCATAATTACAACTTCTAAAATAAACTTCTAATTCATAAGAATAGTTAGACTCAAATTAATTAGTTTATTTATTTAAAATTTTTATAACATCAGATTTGAACTCAATTATTGCTTTTGAATTTGGAATCCCTATTAATTACATACCTTAAAAAACAAATTATTTCTATTTTAAATCAACAAATGCTGTAGAATTTCCTCTAATATAATAATTTGATATATTTTTTGTTTTGCTGCTAAATTATGCTTAAATTATTATTTTATCAGAATCTAATGGAAATATAGGTTTAGCTGTTTAATCTTTTAGCTAAAAGATTATATCTGGGATTTAAGCTCCACTTTTAATATTTGATAAAATTAAAGAATTAGTTGACTAATTGTAATATTTATTTAAATCTGTAGTCATGATCAAACCTAAATGATCAGGATACGAATTTATATTATCTCCATAAAGACTAGCCTAGTTATTCAATATAATGCTTTGAGAGTCTATAACTGGATTTATACCTAGATTATTAATGCATCCTCCAATAACTGCATTGTTATCTGTTAGATTTGTTTTATAAATTTTGATCTATTACTGTACTGTTGATTCATTTTCTGAGCTAATAAATAATGCCCCACCACTTCCATTTAAAGATTGATTGTCAGTAATTTAGCAATTAGACAAAGTTAAAGTAAAAATCTATTAATTGTATGATTAAAGATTTTAAAATATTAAAAAAAAGAAGTATTTATTACATCATCATTTTAGGCTATTAAAAGCATAGCTCCTCCATCTGATATGGCAGTATTTCCAATCATTTTAGTGTTTTATATATAATTAAGATTAGAAACGAAACCATTAACTGATATAGCACCACCGTTATTGGCCTATTTTTAAATAAATATTTAAATTACATAAAAGCTTGTATGATATTAAATTATTTTAATCACTTTTGATTCTAAAAACTGAGAGTCAGATATAAAAAATTGTGTTTAGTTCAACTAAAGTATAGAACCAAAGCATAGCATGCAAATTATTTTCTAAAATAATGTTTATTATTAAATTTATAATTTAGATTAATATAATGATATAAGTGCTCCTGAATTTAGCAGAGAAATCTAGGATTGTAATACTCGTTTTGAGGATATCTAATTTATATTTATAAATTAAGAATCTTCAATTGTTAGAGCTCCTTAATTGACACTAATTAAGTATGTGGAAAACGTAGAGTCTTTAATTATTAATCTTTAAATTACAATACTCGTATTAATACCATTAATTAGAAGAGGGGAAGTATTTTGTAAATTTTTTATTATTAAATTTTAAAATCCGCAATCAACAATTGAGAGCATAGATTTTTAAAGTTAGAAAAATGACACTGATTAGATTTCAGATAGCTTTGCTATTAGATTCAAATAATCAGGATAAGTTTAGTTAAAATTATTATTATCAATATTAAAAAGAGTAACATTAGAATTTTAGGTATTCAAAAAATATGAGTTCGTCTAGCCTAAAATATTGATTAGCTCTCCTTCATAGAATAGAATCTAGTTTAATAAATTCTAATTTTCTGATTATCTGGATATTGATTAAAAAAAAAATTTAATATTATTTTAATTTTCATTATTTTATGGTAATAACTTTATGTTAATAAATATTTTTATCAAATTATGGATTAAATGCGCACATATTGCTCAAAAAAAATCAAAATTTCAAAAACACGCATTAATTAAATATTAAAAATAAAATTTAAATTTTTTAATTTTTGATTCCGCGCACTAGTGTGCATTTATTTATACAAAGTTACCATTTTTATCTTAAATTAAAATAATTTACATTATTGAAATCGAGGAAGAATAAGAACTAAGCATATAGATATTACTAAAGTTAGATGATTTACACACAAAACTTAAAGTTGAGTCTTGTGAATTTATGTAAAATGCACCACCATCATTCTAAGCATAACCTTCTTCAAATGAAGATTTTTCTATAAAAATATTTGTTTCTGAACTAAGACTCTCGAAGTAAATAAACGAGCCTTAGCTTGCTGTGGATTGGCTAAAATTTGAAGAAATAATTTACAAATTGTTTGATTTAGCCCTTAAGCAGCCTCCTTATTATTTAAAAGTTGTTACATTATCTGTGATATTAAATGAAGATTGCTTGCAATTAGCATTAATGATAGTTATATTAAGACCAACTATATATTGAAAATTAAAGATACTACTAGATACTGAATTAATATATTGGTTATTAACTAAATATATAGTACCTAATGGATTAAACACCTGTATTGCAGAAGTTGAATAAGATGAGGTTTTAGGAATTGCATTTAATCTATTTTAGCTAAAAATTGAGTTGCTTATTGTTATATTAGAAGTATAAGTGGAAGTAATTAAAATTGGATTAGCTTAGGAGTTAGTTTAAGTTTATTCAAAATATGAACTTGTGATAACTACTTTTGATAAATTTATTACTGAATTTGTGTATGCTAAATTTCTTATTACTAAAATAGAATTATCTATTGCTTTTATATAGCTTGATTATATATTAGTTATGCTAATCTTTTTTATTTCATTGAAAATTAAACATCCACCGTACTCTCTATTGACTAAACTATCAAAAAATTGTTTATCATTTAAGCAAGAAATATTGCTAATTGAAACTAGAGAAGATTAGGATAATTAACAAAATGCTATTTCTTATTGATTTTTTACTGTAACTTCATTTATTAAAACTGAAAAAATTTGTTCAGTTAGAACTAATTAAGTAATTCCGAGTTAGATATCTGATTAAACTTAAGAAGAGGGAAAGTAAGAATTATCTGTGAAATTTAAATAACTCATATTTAAAGTGTGTTAGGGAAGAGGATTTATTGAATAAATAGCATCAAAAAAGAGATAATTATGTGTTGTATAAAATGAGTTATTGTACATAGTTATATTCTAGAACTAAAATGTTTAATTTTTTTATTTGATTGTGCTGACTGTTGAGAATATCTATAAATTACAAAACTGATTATTGGATATTGTCATATTAGTTACATAGAATTAACCAGCTTCAAATAGTTAACCAGAGAATTGTGGATAGTAAATTTAATTTATATCGCATAGATTATTTTAAATTATAAAAGTATCAATAATAACATTAACATCGCTATCTTAGGTTAATATACTGAATTTTTCATTTAATTTACAACTATCTATTAGAATATTTTAAAGTGCAATCTATTTAATATAATAAAAATATTTCATTTTAAATTTACAATTTAAAAAATTACCTATTAAGAATTAACGATTGATATTAAAACTGATGTATTTGAAAAATCTAAACTTTTTATGTTTATATTTTTAATAGTCAAGAAAGAATTATTTATTTAAAAAAAGAAGCAATCAGATGTACTATCTGTTGAAGATATACTTATGTTATCTATAGTAGCACTCGAAATAATACCATCGAAAGAAACCCCACAATTTTATTAAGAGCTACTAATAATAAAATTAAAAAGTATATCATCAATGTTTAGCATAAAGAGACCCGAAAATTGGAGCAACTAATTTACATTAATTTAAGCTAATTGATTTTTATTATTCCAGCTCTAAATTGTTAAATTCGTTTATGCAAATTCTTACAAAGTTAGCAATTCATTGTAAAATACCATCTAATTTTAGTTGCTCACTAATATATTTACGTCTAGAATTTCAAATCCGTTTATTAATTCGAAATATTATTTAACCTATTTTTAAAATGAAAATATTATTTTTAAATAGAAAAATACTTTGGTAAAATATTTATTTTAATCTAGAGATTTATTTACTAAAAGTAAAGATGGAATTATACTCAAAGAAGATGTAAAAGGCTATTCAAAAGAACCTATCCCATATAGACTTTTAGTATCAGCAGTTTCAGTAGTATTAAAATAAAACTACATTTAGCATTTCTAAGTACAACTAGGCAAATTTTAAAGACATTATCCAATAGGCAAAAATGTATTACTATAGTAATACTAAATAAATAAAACCTAAGTCTTTTCTATATACTGAATATTATTTCCACAATCTGTTAAAGAAGGAGACTGGAAATGCATAAATAATTCAAATTATTAAGTAACTGTATTAAAACTGAATAAATAAACATCTCCGCTCATTTAATCTCCAACTCCAAACATATTAATTTTATTCAATACATTTAAATAGTATGGATTTGACTATAGTTTCATTAATGGTTAAAATGTTTTTTTAGAGAAATTATAGATAGTTATACTGTAATCACCACAAACAATTATTAGAAATTTATTATCATCAGTATGAAATAATTAACCAATTATTGAGCCAGAACAATCAGACGCTTTTTATCAAAATTAATTTTTTAAATAAATAAATAAAATAATTTAAAAATATTTTATTATTATTTTTTTTAAATTAATGAAAAAAACTTTTTAAATTGTTGGGATAGGATTTGATATTTCATTAGTTTATTTTCATCTAAAATAAAATGAAATTAATTCCCATTTTTAATTTTATTTTAAGATTACTTATTGAGTATTTGAATGAAAGGTCTGTTGAATTCCAAACAAAAATACTTCCATTAACAGCAATTCCAACGATTTCTTAATCTTCTTAGGAATAGAGAGCATAACTTGTATTTTGATTATTTTCTTCTACTTTATCAGAGAGCAATTAAAACTATTATTAAGAGGTAATACTTATAGCATAAAATAAGAAATTTTCATTATTTTATTTATTAGGTATTCCTACAATAACCCAAACAGCTTGATTAATATCTTAGTAGGGATCAATATTGAAGCTTATTGAATCAGTATTAAGATTTATCTAACTTAAATCGTATACCTGTTTTTATATTTATAATAACTTTAATATTTTTGATTAAGATAGAAAGAAAGAAATAATTACTTAAGGAGTGAATTATGAGTCCATTACTTTATAAAATGCTAAGTATGTAGAATCATGCATAGCAATAAAACAAGTATTACAGTTTTTTACAGAAAAAAATGTATTTTATCTTGCTTTGATTGACTAAATAAGAGGATAAGTAAGGATAGAATTTAGGTTACTTGGAGAATCTTTAGTGACTTAAATTTCATCTAATGTAGAAACAACAAAATATATTTCTTAATTGAGTTAGAAAGTAAATATTTTTGTAAAACCTGTAGAAATATAATCTTAATTTTATAGTATAATGGTTAAAGTAAATTAATTTATTTTTGAAATTTTATTTTTACTAAAACGAATGAGCTAAGTGTCTGTACTATATGAATAAACAAATAGAGCTGTTTAATAAAAGTAATTAGTGTAGTATGGTATTAACAATTATTGACTTTCTTCCAAATGATACCATTGATTAGTTGGACTTCCTGGTAGTTATACAGTAAAAGGTTGATTGATATTATCAAAGGTAAAAGAATCAAATGTATTTGTATTCTAATTATAGACAAAATTTAAATCTATTCTATAAATAGACCACTAGCCACTTATGTATAAACTGCCTTAATTATTTTAAGAATTTATAAAGCTTAAACTGGCTATACTATCTCCTGATTGACCACTTGGTAGATCTATTTTTTTAAATTTTAAGAAATTTATAATGAAAATTATTAATATATTTAATCTACAATCAGTCTTGATTAATTTTATCTAATTCGCTTTTAAATTAATGATCTAAAAAGCATTGATTTGACAATTGGCTCCTGCTAAAAATATAATATCATAACTCTTGTGCAAATCTATTAAGCTATAATTATTAGCTATAAAATAAAATAGAGTGAAATATTATTCTTTAAAAGACTTAAAAATTAGTTATACCTTCTCGCGAATAATATCCATTGAATGAGAATTCTAAAGTTTTAAAATCAATTGACCAAGTATAAGCACCATACTAATCAATTACTGCTATAAAATTCTAACCATTTTAAAGCTAAAGTAACTTTGCAGAAGCAATATGATTACCACAGTCAGAATTATAAGGTAAAACATTCAAAGATAGAATTTATTTTCCTTCTATAAAGTCAACAACATATAATAAATATGTTGCACTTTTTAAGACTAAATAATTAGATCCTTTCATGAAATGCATACTTTCTAAATTAGTGAATGCTAGTGTTTATATAGATTCAAGAGTATAAGGATCTGCGTATATTATTTATCCTTAATTCATAACTAAAATTTGATTTCTTTATAGTATATACTCCATTTGATTTATAAAGTATTTAGCTTTAATAAAATAAAAATTGTTTTAAAAAAGTATAAATTATTTATTTATATTTACTCTTAACCACATTCACAACATTATCAATTTCACTAGAAAGATCAATATAATATACTATACTCTAAGACGATGCAGTGTTTATCAAAAGTATATTAGTGTTAGGCAACTTCAAAGAATTAGAAACAGTATAGTACTCAAAAAATCTAGGCTCTGTTTTTTAAAATTTATATCATAATGTATTAAAATATTAATTTAATCTTACGGTGCTGCCTAGAAAATGCTTAACATATTTAAGCATTTAAGTTTTGTATTGATTGCAATAAGATTATGACTGTTAAATTCAAAGTAAAGAATGATTTACTCATACTAATAGATATTTTTTCAACCTTCTATTATTACTATTTTTAATTCAAATATAGGTTTTGAGATAAGATTATTGAATTTTGATGTTTCTTATTCTTTTCTTTTACTATTTTTAATTCAAATATAGGTTTTGAGATGTGATTATTGAATTATTTTGTGGAGAGCTTTTTAAATAACTACAAATTTTTATAGATTATTATTTTTTATGTTTCTTATTCTTTTCTTTTATTCTTATATCTCAAATTTTAGGATTTAAATGTACACTTCTATTATTGTAATTAATCTAAAAAAACTAAAAAATATTCTTTCAACCTTCTATTATTACTATTTTTAATTCAAATATAGGTTTTGAGATGAGATTATTGAATTATTTGGTGGGGAGTTTTTTAAATAGCTTCAAATGTTGATTAATTATTATTTTTGATGTTTCTTATTCTTTTCTTTTATTCTTATATCTCAAATTTTAGGATTTAAATGTACACTTCTATTATTGTAATTAATCTAAAAAAACTAAAAAATATTCTTTCAACCTTCTATTATTACTATTTTTAATTCAAATATAGGTTTTGAGATGAGATTATTGAATTATTTGGTGGGGAGTTTTTTAAATAGCTTCAAATGTTGATTAATTATTATTTTTGATGTTTCTTATTCTTTACTTTTCTTCTTATATTTCAAATTTTAGGATTTAAATTTACACTTCTATTATTGAAATTAATCTAAAAAAAAAAAAAATATTCTTGCAATCTTCTATTATTACTATTTTTAATAAATATAGGTTTTGAGATGAGATTATTGAATTATTTGGTGGGGAGTTTTTTAAATAGCTTCAAATGTTGATTTATTATTATTTTTGATGTTTCTTATTCTTTTCTTTTATCTACAATATATATCTGAAAGCTACCTCTAATAACAATAAAGTACTATCCTCAAAATTTTTATTATAAAAAATTTAAAGTAATTTTTTTAAAATTATTTAAGTATAAAATAATTTTTACCATTTTAATTTTATAATTTTAAACTTTAATATCTCTTTCAAAAAATAATTCGAACATATATATATATTATTGATTAAGTAAATTCAAATTAATAAAAATTTGAATTACTGAATGCTTATTTTTAAATGGATTTTAGATAGCTTCATCAAATTAAATATATGTTTCTAAAATTTAAAAAAATTTTGTCAATTCAAAATGAAGGTTACACTAATATATTAATTACATTAAAAAGAAAATAAAATGAATCAATTAATTATTATAAAATTTTAAAATTCATTTATAATCTTTAAAGAACAAATATTTAGAATCTTTTTTATATTTAATTTGTTTCATTCTTTTCTTTCTGTATAGGGATTAAATATGATCTACTAATAATGAAAATAATATTTTGACTTTCATTTTCTATTCGTACTATCTAGGTTTTAGTTTATGTTTTTTATATTTGTTTGAGATAATTATGTTCAACTTTTTAGATGTTTTTTCTGCTTGGCTGTGTAAATTATAAATTATGACTACTCTTGTAAATGCTTTAAGAAAAAACAGAATTCCTTTTTCTTCTATTTATTTACCAATTTATTTATTTTTAAGAATTAATTTGTGGCTGGCCTTGTTTTTACATTAGGAGTTTGGTAGATAATACTAATTGATTATATTTCTTCGTTATTATCTAAATTCTTATCCATATTGTAATTATTAACTATATTTTAATCTATTTTTTTGTTAAGTTATACAGGTAAGGATTTTAAGAGAGCTGCTAAGATTTACTCTTTTTATTTTTAATCTACATTACTAGTGATTTAACTAATTAATAAATAGATACTATGAGATCTTTAATAATAAAAATAGTACAAGTATGCTATTAAAAATCCACTAATAGCAACAATTATCCATCCAATTTTCATTCTTGTATCTTTGCTTTCATCTTAAATATCCTTAACTAATAATGAAGCACAAATTTAAATAACTATCATTAAAACTTCCTAATAATCTACCACATCTGATAAAGATGATTTAACATCAATTTCATAGCAAAAATTTTAATTTTAATCTGCGAAAACACCTAATTTTTTGAACGAAAACTCTTCTTAGTTTTCTTAACAATATAATTCAAGATAAAATCATAATAGTAATTAACGAGAAAAGCTATCAATAGTGGTCAGAGAAATTGAAAGATCCCACTCACTCTCCAACTGAATCATCTACAAGAAATACAAATATTTAACATTATTTTAATTTTGGAATAAATCAAAACACCTCTTCTTATGGATTAAATTTAAAAAAATAAGTAAGATTTTATGTTATCCCCTAAAAATTAGCTAATTAAAAGAAATAAGATAATTAGCAAAATTAGAATAATTTTAAAACGGATTAACAGAATTTAAGTTTTATTTAAGATGATTAAAGTTTTAAAGAATCAAATCAAAGCTTTAAAGAAAATAATTAAGCTTCAAAGAATAAAACCAAAGCTTTAAAGAGTAAGATTTATATTTTAAAGAATAAAGCAAAAACATTTATTAAGAACAACTAAATGTTAGAGGGGATAAACAAAGTACATAAGATATAAATTAAAGTGAAAGTGAAGTAAATCAAAATTAACATCAATTTAATCTTATAAGCGAAAAAAAAAAATTTTTTTGAAAATTTTTAATAGAGTTTAAAGCAAGTAAATAAATTATAGATATCTTATTTTATTTCTGATAAAGCCCTTAATTATTTTGATTAAGAAATAAAGTAAAGTGAATTAAATATTTCTAATGCATTTGTTTAAGATGATAATTTTGAATAAAATAGATAATTTTAGTAATAAAATACAGGAAATGTAAGATTTTTAACTCCACAACCAACTGCTCAAAGATCTGCAAATTATGAAACTTTTTCTTATCATATTGGCAATTTATTTATAAAATTTCCTATTTTTGTACCAATATACTGAAACAATCAATACCAATAAATAGAGTTAAAAAAAACTATCTAACTAACACCATTCTTGCTAAAGCAATAATAATTTTAGTTAGCAAGTAAACATTTTTAAATAAAAATTTTTATTAATTTAAAAAATATAAAGTAATAGATTTAAACAATCAATAATTAGAGCAACTTGAAAGAAACAAATTAAGATAAAATTTAAGAGTTACCTTTATTAATTAAGTAGGTATCTATCAATTAATTAATCCTAAAATAATAGCTCATAATAATCTCAGTAAACTAGAGTCAATAAATATCTTGCTAATAATTTAGAAAAGAGTGTTGATACTACGTACTCAACTTAAAGTCCTTTAATTCTACAAAGTTAATAATTTAGTGAGAATAAATTATATTTTGACGAAAAACATGGTAATAGTATTTAAGTAAGGAACTAAATAAATCCATGTGGATAAAAATATATCTTAGAAAACGTCGATATATAACAACAGTAGCAGAATAATAAAACAAATGAATTCAAATTTTCAAATTTAAATGACATATTAAATTAAATGAATAGTTCATTTTAATCTTAATTAAAAAATTAGCTCTTGAAAACAATGAAATCAATAAATAAATTTTAAAATCTTTGTCACAAACTTCCACAACATCAAAATAACTCGACGAACGGAGCAATAACACATTCACCTCTTCATGAAAAGTTTTAATTACAAACCCAAGCAATGCTAGCATGGCTATTTTAGAAAATTAGAATTTTTTTACACTTGAAACAAATCCTTATACAAATAATGATAGCTAGAATATAAACAGTCAAAATTAAAGTTATTAATTAATAAAGCTCTCACTAACATTTTTCAAGAGACAATATAAATGGGATAAATTTTAATTCATCTTAGTGCTGCTTCTAATAAGAATTAAATGAAATAGAGTTAAGAAACAATTAAGCAAATAAAAATACAAATTTATCAAATTTAATTAAGCGAACGAGAAAAATTTTTTTGATTTTCAAAAATAAGTGTTATTACATTTAAGTATGAAAAAGACATTATATTTACAAATACATATACATAAAAAATAAGAATAAATATTTAGAATAAAAATTATAGAATATTTCCAGTATATTTATTCTAGAACTACCAAAGAATACCCGTTAATTCGCAACACACTAAGTAGCAAATTTTACTATTTTTTCAAAATTTCGGAAAAAATGGTCAAAATTTAAAGGGCTGATAATTAATGAGGATTTACAGTAATAACTTTAGATTATCAGTTTTGCAAATATTAGTATAAAAGAAGCTATAAAAATAGGAATATTAAGTAATGTCAGCCGAAGTTAAAACATAATTAGCAGAATCTCTTAATTCTATTCACAATACTTACTAACTCAAATTAAGTAAATTATAAAATTTAATTCATAATTTATAATCAAATGTCAATAAATAAAGTTTAAAATTTATGAAAAAGCTAGCTTAAGGTTTTATTTGTGTTATGCAATCTTTAGATAATACAATATTTTAATTTTCTGCTTCAACTAAATTTGAATTTTCAGCAAAGTTAATTAGTTTATTCATCATTAAAATTTATTTTATTTTCAAGAATCAGGCATAGAAAATTTAGAAAAATAAATAGAGGGATATTTGGCTAAAGACAGCAATTCTGGTGATCAAACTAAATCACAATTTAATTTGAACTCTTCATTTCAATCTTCATGTAAATTTATTTTTATAATATAGAGTTTGTAATTTTTTATTTATAAATATAATAGCTTTATAATCTACTTAATATATTACCAATTTAGGAAGCATATTAGGTATTTCAAACATAACTACTACCTAATAAATTAAATCAAAATTAAACTTTATAAATTTTAAACTATATATTTAAGTTTATATCGTTCAAATTTAATTTAATTTAAAATGAATTATTTATAAAACTATTTAGAAAATTAAAGTTTTAATTCAAAATAGTGGTTGATTTAAGATATATTTGTTATGTTTCTATTATGTTAATTATTTATATATTAAATTAGTTAAAAAAAAACTAAACCCAAAATAATATTAAATATCAGTTTATTTTTAGAAAAAAATAATATAATAATAACATTTAAATTTTTTTGTCTTTGAAGTATATTTATTTTAAATTCTATAAATAATATTCTTAAATAAAAATAATTAGTTTTTTATTTTACTTACAAAACAAATAAAGCTTAATATTTAATATAAATATATTATTAATAGGGAAAAATGAACTTTAAAATTGATAAATCTTATTAGTTAAAAACAAAAAAATAATATATATTATTTAACATTTAATAATAATTTTCAGATATTTAACATATTATCTATTTCATATTCAGTAAAATAAATTAAATTATTATTTTTATCCACCTGGTTAATAGAATTTCATTTTATTAATTCATTAGAGTTATCCTCTTTATCTTTTTAACTCTCTTTCTAATCAATCGTTATATTTAATTTTTTAAATCCTAATATTTAATGAAAAAATTTAATGATTAAAAAAAAACTATTTTTTATATTACATAAAAAAGACGGAGATTAGTTTATCTAGCTGCTATATACATTATTTGGGCTATTTTCATTATCTTTATCAAAGTAATCGCATTCAGTGTTTAAGTTTTGTTAATTTACAGGAGCTAAGTATTTTTGTTTTAATTTTATTAATTTATTAGAGTTATCCTCTTTATCTTTTTAATTGCTTACTAAATTTAATTCTTCGAATTCTAATATTTAATTAAAAAATTTAATGATAAAAAAAAACAATCAAAAATATTACATAAAAAAATAGGAGATTAGTTTATCTTGTTGGTATATACAGTATTTGGGCTATTTTCATTATCTTTATCAAAGTAATCGCTTTCAGAGTTTAATTTTTATTAATTTTTAGTAGCTAAGTCATTTAGTTTATTTTATTTAATAGTATAATTAATCTACTAATCTTTAAATAGTCTTTTATGATTTTTACCTATAAATTAAATATATTAAATATAACAAATAACAAGAGTTTTAATACCTATTTATATCTTAAGACCAGATAATAAGAGATCATACTTTTGCTCTTCACTGAGATTTAAAAATTCTTAAAAAATTCTTTTTATTTTAGCTTTCAATTATGGATTTTATTTTTATTTTTGATACTTTTGAACAAGCAACTTTGTATAAGAAAATTTTAAAAAAAATGAAATGATAACATTCTTAAATTATATTAAAAGTCCTATAATAACTCTTTTAATTACTAAAATAATAAACAAAGCATTGATTGTGATTATAATTATAATAGAAGTCATTACATAATAATTGAAGGGATTATTGTAAATGAATAAACAAAGTAATACAGAAACTGCACACACGTTTGTTTGATAGAAATCAACTGTATTGTACCCGCTCAAACGATAGGGTTATAAAACACTAGATGCTATCCCATAGAAGGAAATCATCATAAAAATTAGCACTCCTTTAACATTAGTTTCTTGGGAATAGAAGTTAAGAATTATAATGATTAAAATTTTTTCTAAAATTTTCACGAATTCCCAATAATAATTTTGGCTTTTATACTCTTTATATAAAAAGCTATATTTCTTATATACTTAAATGTTTTGCAAGTCATTTTTATTTTTGTATAGTAAATAAAAAAGTCCAATAGGTATAATAAAAGCAAACACTAATAAGCAAGGAGCTACAAAGGTAGAACTATATCTCTAGTGCTGGCTAGTGTTGCATTCATAAGTTATATTATAGAGTATATAACTAGAATCTCCAATTACCCTACATGAAAGAATAGCTATCATTTGAGAAACTAAATCAGGCTAAACTAAAATAAATATAAAGATTGCAGCAGTACAAATAGAATAATAACGAACTTTTATATTTGTAAATACCCTTTATAAAATTAAGCTAAGTATAAACACCATTAAATAGCCAATTGGAACTGTGAGAGTAAATAGTAGTTTAAGATATATCATTGGTATATCTGTTTATATATCTTTTAATATACATTCAGCAGAATTCATTTATTATCTTACAGGTGCTCC